CTGGACGGATCTTGGTAATTCTGAATTATCTTAAAATATAAAATACCTATCCTACTTTCGTAAATTGAGTTTGAAACTAGACTTATTTATCTACAAACTCACATGAGACCAGGTACTTAGGGCCAATAAAAGTATTTTTTTCATAATTATTTTCAAATTGGTTCAAATTTGGAAATCTAGAAATTTATGTTAATATGCTCTTATTTGGTTTGCAACTCTTATATTCTATGTTTCTTGAATGTTTTAGTCTCGATATGTAATCTATGATAAATTGTAAATTTGTTTTACCATGAATAAATTACTTGTTGTTTAGTTTGGATTTGTAATTATACTGACCATGCTTTGCTATAACTGAGAACATAATGCACTTAATAGAGGAGAAATCAAATGGGATGGTAATGGATTGCGATAATTGTATTAAATTTTATGAGATAATGAACGATGGATTCAAGAGTATGATATAATGAAATGTATTCCATTTTTGTAAAGTCTTGCGCAAGTGTTTTTCCGAACCCTAACATGGCATGGGAGATATTCTGGCTGCTTAACGGAAATGGGAGGTATAAGGGTGGCAGTGAGGGTCTCACACAGGGAGAGTATCCCTAGAAGCTCGTTTCCTTAGGGCAGACCGTGATGTCACCACTTGGGTATGTAACCTAGGTGCGTGGGCATCATTGGTGATTGTGCGGTAAGCGATGCACTGGTGGTTATGCGGTAAGCAACGCATTGGTATTGTATTAACCAAGGGGGAGTCAGAATTGCCCGTGGCTAGAGTTAGTGGTTGGGTAGGAACGGCATTCCACGGAAAGTTGCCTAGAACTAACTAAAATTGACTATAATTCATGAGAACTGAAATTTAATTATAATCTCTGCTTGATTATTGCTTTCGCTGTATGTTATGACCGTGCCATTATGTTACTTATGTATTTGGAATGGGCAAAGGGTTGGGATGTGTGTGTGTTTACTGGGCATTCCAAGCTCATGGCGTTTTATGCCAGGTGAAGGCGAGTTTTACACCAAGAACAGAATCCCTAAAAGCTTTGTGGAACCATGGCTGCCTTAGAAATTAGATTGCATATTTCCTGTATTTTGGATAATCTTTTTGTATCAAGGAACCGACTTGTATTTAAAGAGTTAAAGAATTTTATCTGTAACTATTATTAATATTTTATTTTAGTGTAATTATTTGTATTTTGTGCTTAAAAATGATGTGTATCCTCTAGTTAAACCCCAATGCATCGTTGTATTATATTATCATAATTTGAGGCGTCACAATCTGACTCGCACAACCCGTCCAAACCGACTCTGCCCACACAAATCCGACCCTACCCACATGCATAAGTAGGGCGGGTGCGGGTCTTTTTTTTCATACAAAATCGCGTTCGGGTCAGACCCGACCCTACCCGTGCAAATCCGCAACCCGCTCGCATGATCCGTAGCTTATGTTTAAAAGAAAAAAAAATCTGGGTATGTCTCTCAAATTCATTTTTTTGATCCTCCTTTCCTTCTCTACCTCTCTCTCTTTTTCTCTCATTTGGGTATGTCTCTCACTCTCACACTCTCTCTCTCTTTCGCCTACCTCTTTTTTCCCTCCTCCCCGTCGCCATCACTTTCCTCTCCTCTACAACCGCCGTCGTCTCTCCATCCCCTCATCTTCTCTCTGTCACAGTATCGTCGTCGCCCCAAACGAAATCTAGATATGCTAGATCTGGAAGATCTACTGCCCAAAACAAAACAAAAAAAACACAAAGGTACCCAGATCTCTCATCTCCTCCCTTTGTTTATGGTTTACAGACCTTGTTTTGTTGTGGGTTGGTAACTTTTTGCTTCTTTTATTTAATAAAAGAAAATTCTTTTGATTGTGTTGTTGTGTTGTGGCTTTGCAAAGGGGTTTGTAAGATTTTGATTTCTTTATTTAATAAAAGAAAATGTTTTTATTGTTGAATAATAATAATAATAAAATTGTTTATAAATTATAAAAATAAGGGTGTGTTTGAGCTTTGAATAGGTTGAATAAAAATAATAAAGTCTAATTTTTGTTCAATACAGAACCTCCAAAATTTTTTTTTGATTTGTCAATCATTTGCACTAGGTTGGACTTTAGAGAGATTTTTTTTTTTTTTTTTTTTTTTTCAATCATACACTGTTTGCTAACCATAATTTGCGAAAAAAAATCTGTTTAAAAAAAATTTCTCTCAAAAGAAAAATTCTCTCATTTTTGCAATTTTGCACTCTATTGATGAAAAAAAATTAAATAATTCACAAACTGCCCGCAATTGATCCGCGCAACCGCATGACCTACCCGTTCAATTCGCAACCCACACTGCGGGCGGACACGGTTCTATTTTTTCCCAACCCGCAACCCATCAGGCGGGTCCAACGCATCATCCGAACCACGCGAAACCGATCCATGGACACCCCTAATTGTATGTCTAAACAAGTTGTTTTCCGTCCACCAGGTCAAGATGAGTTTACTTTTGTGGGACATGGAGTAGTCCCTCCACCCTATTTGATATCGGCTATGAAAGCTTACAAACTACTTCAGAAAGGTTGTAAGGGTTATTTGTGTAGCATTTTGCATACAGAAACAACCGATGTGGGTGTTGAAAATATTCAGATTGTTAATGAGTTTTCAGATGTATTTTTCGAAGAATTGCTAGAGGACTTGATAGACCGTGCGATTGAATTTGTCATTGATATTGTACCGGGTACTCAACCAATTTCTAAGGCTCCATACAAAATGTCTCTAGCAGAAATGAAGGAATTGAAAGTACAGTTGCAAGAATTGCTTGACAAAGGATTTATCCGACCGAGTACATCGCCATGGGGCGCACCCGTTTTGTTTGTGAAGAAGAAAGATGGGACCCTTCGGTTGTGTATTAACTACTGAGAACTTAATAAGATAACGGTGAAAAATAAATATCCTTTACTCGGATTGATGATTTGTTTGACCAATTACAGGGGGCACAAGTGTTTTCAAAAATTGACTTGAGATCCAGGTACCAGCAGTTAAAAGTCAAAGCAAAGGATGTGGAGAAGACTACCTTCCGAACTAGGTATGGCCATTATGAATATTTTGTCATGCCATTTGGGGTTACAAATGCACCAGCAATTTTTATGGATTTAATGAATCGGGTTTTTAAACCGTACTTATATGAGTTTGTGATGGTATTCATTGATGACATTCTTATTTATTCAAAGAGTAGGGAGGAACATAAAAAATGTGAATTTTGGTTGAATGAAGTTGTGTTTTTGGGGCATGTATTTAATAAGGATGGTATGTCTGTCGATCCGCAAAAGATAGAAGCTATTGTGAATTGGCCTGCTCCTACCAATGTTACAGAAGTATGCAGTTTTTATGGGTTTAGCAGGTTACTACTAAAGATTTGTTAAAGATTTCTCCAAAATTGCAATGCAGCTTACCCAATTAACTCAAAAAAGTGTTCCATTTGAGTGGATAGAATAGAGAGTCTGCTTTCCAAGAATTAAAGAAAAGGCTCACAATAGCACCAGTTCTTGCCTTACCGTCAGGTACAGAAGGGTTTGTTGTTTATAGTGATACTTCTCATAAGGGTTTGGGGTGTGTGCTTATGCAGAATTGAAGAGTAATTACGTATGCATCTCAATTATTGAAGTCACATAAAAAGAATTACCTTACGCGTGATTTAGAACTAGCTGCTGTGGTTTTTGCATTGAAGATATGGCGACATTATCTCTGTGAAGCAACATGTGAAGTCTACACTGACCACAAGAGCCTCAAATATTTCTTTACTCAAAAGGAGCTTAATATGCGGCAAAGACGGTAGTTAGAACTCTTCAATGATTATGGCTTGCAAATTCATTACCATCCCGGCAAAGCCAACACAATAGCAGATGCTCTTAATAGGAAGTCAATGGGGAATTTAGCATGTTTACTTACAGAGCGGAATGAATTATTATGTGACTTGGAAAGAATCAAAGTGGAAATCGTGCTACATGAACAGGGTGGAATGTTAGCCACAATGGCAGCACAACCGGCTATTATTGAGGAAATTAAACAAAGGTAATTGGAGGATGAATTTGTCAAGAAAGTACATGATGAGATAGAAACAAACCCGAGACTGGGATTTTCCATGGAAGCTCAAGTGTTGAAATTCAAGGGAAGATTGTGTGTTCCTAATATCCCCGAAATTAAAGGAAGAGTCTTGAAAGAAGCTCACAAATCCATATTTGCTATGCATTCCAGTAATACCAAAATGTACCAAGATTTCAAGCAAACTTTTGTTGGCCTACTATGAAGAGAGAAATTGCGGAGTTCATTTCAAGATGCCTTCAATGTTAGCAAGTAAAAGCGGAACACCAAAGACATGCGGGGTTACTTCAACCTCTCCCTATTCCAGAATAGAAATTGGAGCACATAACTATGGATTTTATTAGGCTTACCCCGAACACTCCGAGGTGTGGATTCTATATGAGTTGTTGTGGATAGATTGACTAGGTCTACTCACTTTTTGCCTGTGAAGACTATTTATAATGCTGATAGACTTGCTACTGTGTACATTGTTGAGATTGTTTGATTGCACGGTGTTCTGGTTTCCATTGTATCGGATAGAGATTCTAAGTTTGTGTCAAGATTTTGGCAAAGCTTACAAAAAGAATTGGGGACGAAGTTGCGGTTCAGTACCACATTTCATCCACAAACCAATGGACAATCTGAAAGAACTATACAAACGTTGGAGGACATGCTCCGGATGTGTGTTTTGGATTTCCGTGAAAGTTGGGAGGCTCATTTACCTTTGGTGGAATTTGCGTATAACAACAGTTTCCACTCCAGTATCGGAATGGCACCATATGAAGCTTTGTATGGGAGAAAATGTTGAACCCCAGTTTGTTGGACTGAGGTTGGGGATAGGTCGTTGATTGGGCTTGAAATTGTGCAAGTTACTACGGAAATGATTCAGATAATCCAATAGAGATTGAAAACTACTCAAAGTCGACAAAAGAGCTATGCAGATCAAAGAATGAGAGACTTGGAATTTGAAACTGGGGATCATGTTTTTGTCAAAGTCACCCCAATGAAAGGGCACACAAGATTTGGGAAGAAAAAGAAGTTATCAACCTGGTACATAGGGTCATTTCAGATTTTAGAAAGATTGGGTCCGGTGGCTTATCAGATTTCTTTACCACCAGGCATGGAACAAGTGCACAATGTGTTCCACGTGTCAATGTTACGAGGCTACCTTCAGGACCCTTCTCACGTTATTGACTATCATCAGATTATACTAGATGATGATATGGTTTATGAGGAGAAACCTATCCAAATCCTTGATTGGCAAGTCAAGCAACTAAGGAACAAGACTATCCTAATGGTAAAAGTCGAATGGAGGGAACATCATAGAAATGAAGCCATTTGGGAACGGGAAGAAGAAATGAGGCAACAATATCTAGAATTGTTCTCGACTTGATGCAAGCAAGTTTGGAGGACCAAACTTCCTAAAGTGGGGAAGACTGTGATAACCTAACCTGTACTATGCTTAATTATCCATGCGATTATGTGTGTGCTGATATGGATTTGCAAGTTAAGTATGTGAATTATGAGAATTTGGAATAATGTTTGTTGAATGTAGGAATATCTGTTACAATTGGAACTTTAAACTAAAAATTGGAAGTCTTAGAAGCGCGGTAAATAAAAACCGACTTCATATTCGTGATTAGCATGATTTATAGAGCTTACGGTGAAATTTTGAAAAATTACGATTCGTAATGATTAAATTAAAGAATTATGAGTTAAGTCATATATTGGTGTTGGTCTCTTGTGTTCTTCATTTTGGTAGAGAGCTTGCTAGAGTGAGTTAGAGAGAGAGAGGAAGAGGAAGAGGAAGAGCTAGGGTTTTGGAAGAGAATCAAAGGACAAACCTTAGTCTTGAGTTAAGGTATGATAATCTACTTATAATCTTTGTCTCTAACTCATCCTTGTCATGAAATCAAGAAGAAATTGAAAATTTTGATCTAAGGTTTTGAGTTGGATAATGGTTTGAGCTTAATGCATGAAATAGAACCCTAATCTCTTCCACCTTGTTTGATTTGAGCTCAACTTTATGACTAATGCATGAAATCACCTCTAGATTGTTGATACATTCAAGGTTGTTGCATGATTCATTATGTTTATATGAATATTGAGCTTGTGTATGTAATTTATGAAAATATGAAAATGTTGAGAGCATGAACTTAATGTTGAGGCAAGACTGATGTGTTTGGGTTGCAATTACCTTTGAATCATGCTAGTATATCATGTTTTTGAGTAATTTTTCCATGAAATTGGGCTTGGGAATGAATATGGAAGATCACACTTTGAAGCATTTTCAGACTGGTTTGGATTGCGCAAAACCACACGTGCGACCAGGAGCCCCGCATATGGGGAAAACAGGGCAAGTTGGAGCTTCAGTTCTGAAATAAATGCATGTGCGGCACCTTTTCCGCACATGCAGGAAACAAGGGAAAAATGTCTTTTTCTGTTAACTTCCTCGACCCTCTGAATCCGTTGATAAGCATGTTTTGACCTTTCACAATGCCTAAAAAGACTTGGGAAACTAAAGAAGCATAAAACAAATTAATAAAACAAAAAGGTATGAATTGAACAAATTATTCACCGAATGTATGTGTGAAATGTTTGTGTAGGTCATGTGCTGAAGGAAGCACCGTGGGACATAACAAACTATGAGTAATAATATTGTACATATATGCTTTTTATTGTGTACGTCGAACCATGAATGGTGAATGGTGCTAATATTGTGAATTAATCAAAATAAAGAAACTTGATTAATGTTATATGACATGCGTAATTTGGGCCCGAGGCCGCTTGTTATATGATTAAGCCCGAGACTGATTGTTATATGATTGTATCCGAGGCCACTTGTTACATGATTGGGCCCGAGGCCATTTGTTATATGAATTGGCCCAAGGCCATTTGTTTTATGATTAGGACCGAGGCCACTTGTTATATGATTGAGCCCGAGGCCGTTTGTTATATGATTAGACCCGAGGCCGCTTGTTATATGATTAGGCCCGAGGCCGTTCTGTTTATATGATTATGGATATTATGAGGACCTTATGATCATCTATTTACACTGTTTTACTGTATTATTACTCATTGAGCTTCGCTCACCCATTATTATGTATACATATGTAGGTGATCAGCAGCATGGAGCACACCCCTAGAGTCAGCTTCAACAGCTATTTGTGACCTAATCGAGTCATTCCTCCGAGATGGAGTTTTGTCTTTGACTCGCACCATATCTTAACCTTATTTTGTTTTTGCTATTATAGTCTTGGGTTTGTAAACAATATGTACAAATTTCTTATGGCACTTATATTTTTGCTTGGACATGTAAATGTATTAACGTATTATGAGATTAACTTTATAATTTTGCTCATGATTGACACAGCTCAATGGACTTCTCATTATTGTATGCCTCCATTGTGGCCCCATTAGCATAAATATTCTATATGATCATTTGAGGCTTTTGATAATCTATGAATTACTGACCGGTTATGACCCAAACTTTTATGTGCGGGTTCGGGTCATGACATCTGTTGGCAAAATGTTGGCTTATTTTTCCTACGAAGGAAAATATCATAAATGCGAGCGTGCCAGCAAGGATTGAAAAATCCTTACAGATTAAATTCAAGCCAATTATCAAGCGATTGTGTTGACGGTTCTTTTGCCTCAACGAAGAGGACTTCAAGATTGCCAAGTGTAAAGAAAAGGAAAATTAAAAGAAGAATGAGGGGCGGAGAAAGATGATTGAGTGAACAATCAAAGTAATAATTACTTACCTCTACTCCTATGCTTCGAAATATAAATCTATGTTAACCTACTTCTAAGATAAGGAAAATGACAAGAAATATTAAAATCAATTGTCTTTGATTTATGATTCTGGATCCTTACAATGTAGCCATTAATGGCTATTTATAGAAGAAAAAATACAGCAATAACTACTTAGTAACTACCCATTTCTTCCATCTTCATTCTTGTCTTGCCATGTGTCATTATTATTACTCATTGAGCTTCGCTCACCCATTATTATGTATACATATGTAGGTGATCAGCAGCATGGAGCACACCCCTAGAGTCAGCTTCAACAGCTATTTGTGACCTAATCGAACCATTCCTCCGAGATGGAGTTTTGTCTTTGACTCGCACCATATCTTAACCTTATTTTGTTTTTGCTATTATGGTCTTGGGTTTGTAAACAATATGCACAAATTTCTTATGGCACTTATATTTTTGCTTGGACATGTAAATGTATTAACGTATTATGAGATTAACTTTATAATTTTGCTCATGATTGGCACAGCTCAATGGACTTCTCATTATTGTATGCCTCCATTGTGGCCCCATTAGCATAAATATTCTGTATGATCATTTGAGGCTTTTGGTAATCTATGAATTACTGACCGGTTATGACCCAAACTTTTATGTGCGGGTTCGGGTCATGACATCATTCTTATGGAAAGATTTTATTTTCATCACTGTATTTTCATAAAGATTTGTAATTTGAAATTTGTGAGTTAAGATATATCAAGCACATTTATGCAAACATAATCAAAATCACATAATTTTTTTCATTAATTAAAAATTCGATTTCCATTTTTGGATGATCTTCTTCACAAAAAGCAAAACCAGTCCTTTATTAGCATTTGATTTTATATATATATATATATATATTGGAGATTTTGATCAAAAATCAAAATTTTCACGCTACAAGTTGTGGTCTGTTGATATGCAGGTATCGCGATGGCTTCAAAGCAAATCTGGATTATTGGATTTGTTGTACAAGACCTTAGATCATTGTTTGGATTATTGGATCTAGAATGTTTGGATTTTTTTTTTTTTTAAAATCAAACATGTGATCATTGTCTGGATTATTGCTTTTCTTTTTTCTTTTTTCTTTTTTTTCGTAGCTGCTGTTCTTGTTCTTGTTGTTGATGACGATGAAACAGATAATAAAATTTGGACTGATATTTGAACAGACAAGGAATTTCAACAAATAAATATTCCAATAGATAGATAACGAAAAGAGATACAGAGATTACAGAGATAGACACTGAAATCAAGAGAAAGAGAAGAGAAGTGTAAAAATTCAACAAATAAGGTGGTAAATTTCAACAAATAACAAAATTTTCAACACATAAGGAGAAAGTATTGAACATATAGTCAAAAATTTGAACAAATAGATGTAAATTTGAGCAGATAGAGAAAAAATTTGAACAAATAGATATAAATTTAAGCAAATAGTTAAACAAATATCCAAAAAAAAAAAAGGTCAACAAATAAATTAAGGGATAAAATTGAAAAAAAAAATCTTTCAAAACAAATAAAATGACTTCTCATCAAGCTTTTTCACAAAAGGTTGAACTTTTAACAACAAAAAATACTCACTGCAATGTCAGATTGAATTTTTCAATAATTACCTCTATTTTTACCCTATTCTATCAATGGAAAGTAATTAAAATTTTCTTTTTTGATTTTTCATATCTTTTAAGTGAACCTATTTGCAATTAATAATGTATATTCACATTCTTGAAAGCTATATTTTATTATTTTATGTCAAATAAAATCCAATTAGATAATAAACACAAGCCATGCATGGGACCAAACGGTAGAAAGTAGGTTAAAAATTGCAAATAATTGCAAAACTTAAGAGAAGTCAGTAAAAAAAAAATTTTAAAAAGTTTATATATATACAAATTTTTTTCATCGTAGAATCTTTGCCACGATTAAACTAATCAAACAACTTTACCAAGTGTTGACCGTTGACCTAATCTCCACCATGTTACATTTTACTTCTTTTTTTACTTTTTTCAATTTTTTTTATTATAATAATTTTTCAATAACCATATTTATATATCATATTATATAACGGGTTATTTGTTACAGTTTATATAATTAAAATAAAGAAAAATGTAAATAGTATACATTAATATTTATTTGAAAGGAAAAGATTGAGTACATACCTAAATTTTGACATAGTACACAAAGTGATTGCCCCGAAAATCTATGATAAACTGTTTAATACAATTTCTATCTATAACTTAGAAGATAAAAATAGTTTAACCTTTATTTTCCAATTATGAACTTTAAACTGTATGGAGTAGGTCTATTATTGTATTAATTTAAAGGGGAATCTTTTTTAAGGTCTTTGATATTAAGATTTTATAAGATAAATGACATATAATATTTTCATAACAGTTGGGGTCTCTTAATATTTTTACAAAGAAAATTTAACTCAGAGAAATTTATGCCCGACTTAGAGAAATTTCAATCTCGACATAGAGAAATTTCAGTTTTCACAGAAAAATTTCATTGAGGGACCTTAGCTAATAAAAAACAATCTTAGACGTCTCCTACTGCACAAAGTTTGAGAGAGATGTTTCACTAATTTTTTCTAATTTAAAATATCTC